GTTTGTCAAACTCCCTCACTATCATGCCCTTTGTGTTAGTCTCATTTCTATCCTAAATGCTATTTATAGATAGTGTTTAAATTTACTCATTTGGCATATCTACAGAATGTAGAGATTGTTCTAGACACAATGGCGTATCCTAGAGACTAACTCCTGGCACTAAGGGTGGATAAGAGTGAAAGCCCAAAGCATGTATTCTAAACCCAAGCTCCATATCATGTTAGTTGATATCCTCGCATTAAGCCACTAGTATGTTGAAATAGCACTAGACTTTGTTTGGCTTCATTTTGTGTGCTAATTCTGGTATTAGGATGTTGGATGCTCTAAGATTGTTCCAACTCACTTCGTGATCTTGTCCCTTCTCTCCTTAGGATATATGCTCAAGAGTTGCTTCATGCTCCGGTTCCTTCACTCCTTGGATCCATGTGTGGGAGTTTGGCTCCATTCTTTCATTTAGTGGCCCAAAGCCCTAAAACTCAAGTTTTGCACCACTATCCTTGGACACGTGGCATATGAAGGGTTTAGGTTCTATTTTGTGGTTATCCTATGGTAGGATAAAGGGTAAAAACCCACATGCACTACATTTGGTATTAGAGGATAAGTCTTAGTGAGTATTATCTAATGAGATTGGGTAATTAGTCTCGTTGAAAATAATGATCCGAGTGGGTACATATTTGGGTGCTAAGACTTCACATTCATTCCTTGGTGTTGTGATTATAAATGAGATTTAGATATACTGTCACCATGGATCCTTGAAACTTTAGGGGATAAATGGGGATAAAATAACCACTAAGGGCTCTCTCATCAAACAATTGCCCCTTTTCCAGTTGGTTTAAGGGAAAAAAGATAAAGTGCACTACACTTGGGTATAGATTTTAGTTACCTTTTTGTACCATATTGTGTGAACTTGCACTTGGGCTTGTGAGTGAGGCACATTAGCAACTCAAAATTACACTCTAAATTGGCAAAATGGTTTTAAGGTGTACCATTTTGCACGAGTTTGCACTTGGGCTCATGAATGAGGCACATTAGCAACTCAAAGTGTAACTTTGAGTTGGCAAGATTAATAATAGCCTATCAGTGGTTTCATGAGTTGTTCCATGTATCATGGATGAAAGTAAACTTCCCTTGGGTTTGCTATGAGTGGCGAATAGGCTAATCCATAGCTATTTAGCACGGCATTAATGAATCCTTTCTAGGCATGATTATATGTGGATCAATCAAGATTGTAGGGATTAGTTTATTGGTTTAAGTAGTCATTATTGCACTTTCTCATAAACTTTTCTTGGACTGGACTAAAGGAAGTGTGAATGCAAACTTAAGGTTTAGTCAAATTAAGATTGAAAAGAGAGTTGTTAAGGATGACGGATCAAATATGTAAATTATTTTATTTTCTTGGAAAAATGATTTGCAACGATGTGTGATCTCATTGTTCGTATTCACAATATGCAATCAAGAGTCCTTATCTTGATGTATGTTGGTTATGGTGGTTTTACAAGTGGTAAGTTGTGGGATGGATAGTGGTGAGGCACTAAACCATTTTATCTAGGCTTGTTATTAAAGACTTTGGTTACAAAACTTAATTCTTTTCTAAGGAACTTTGCTATTGCTTTTTGAATAGTTTGGTGTCATATTAGTTTTGAGTTTGGCTAGAAAGAAAGTGGCATGAGCTTATCCGTGTTGTGAATAAAAGTTGGTGTTAGTGTTGTAAATCTTTATCGATGGGGTGTGGCATTTATATTGCATTTTGTCAAATAGAGTTGGAATTTGATACTCACATAAACTTTTAAATTAATAATGTGAGCTTGCTCATGGTGTTGCTCAATTAATAATCAAGTCATTGTGATTTTATATCATATCCATGTGATAGTGAGCAATGTGTTTACAAAGTTGCTTGGTTAAATGATGATCAACCCCAAAGTGGTTGATGGTGAAGTTAATCTACTTACATGTAATAACATTATAGTAGCTTTGACTGGATTCTCAATGGTGGCCCATTATGCTAAGCTTGAGTTGGTACCTTGTTTCCTTTAGGATTTGCCTATAAGGTGTTAGAAAAAGTTATAGCATTCATTTGTTATGGTTTGTTGGTTTATCTATTAGCATTTGGAATAGATTGTTGGATGGAAAATATATGTAACTGAAGTATTGACATTGCTAACACTTATGTTAGTGGAAGTGGCATTATTATTTCGAATGATGAAGAATTCTTCTTAGACCTTAATTTTCCATGTCATTTTTCTTGTTAGTGTTCTAGCTTTACATTAGATCTTGAAAGTGATTGAAGAAGAGTGTTAGTACAATGTGGATATCTAAAAATATGGTCTTCGTGATCGAGTCTTGGATGTTTATTTGCATTTTGTGAATATTAATATTGGATGTCGAAAATATGGGCAATGATGTTTGATGCTTAGACATACTATTAGTCATGAGAATTTGTGTTAAGGTGAACTTATGTGAAGTTGTTAGTAGAAGGAAGTTGGTTAAATTTTGAGAATTTATTTCTTTAGACTAAGAGTTATTCTTTCTCTAGGATGGAAATTTTTCACAAATTTTCTTAAATTTTTCCAATGGCTGATTTGTTAATCACTTTGCTCGAGAATCATTCCATTTCGAAAACCATTACAAATTAGTGAAAGGGTTGGAATTTACTTCAGTTAGCTTAAACTTTAGTGTGTAGTTTGTATAATGCAACCTGAAAGTATACTGACTTTTAGGGCTAATGCAATTGAGTCTAGAGTTAGTGTTGAAAAGTGGCTATTGCACTTTTCTAAAAAAATGACCATTGTGCCTTTCTTTTGTAAGATTGTGGTGGTAGGTTACACCTTGCATTTTATTAAACTCTATAAGAGTAGTGAGTTTTCATTGATCTTGACTTGGTTTTGGTAGCTTTGCACCTTAGCTGAGGATGGTGATGTCTAATTTAATTGTTTATAGTCAATGTGTTAGTATTTATATTATAACTTTGTCTATCAAGAAGTTATGTACTAATATGAATCCATCTCATAGTCTTCACTATAGTTTCAACTAAGTGTTGATCATGCATAGCTAGCCTCTCAACTTATAGGAAACACAATGACACACACTCAAAGCAAGGAAATCACTAAATTTTCTTTTCAAAAGCTCCCCACAACAAGAACCATAAACTCACTTAAACTCTTCCTTCAGTACATGAAAATTGACAAGACTAAATCCAAAAGAAAGCTAAGAGGATATACAATATATCTCCTAAAATGAATCTCATAAAAATCCACCAAAACTCACTCAAGCGTTTGAGAAAATATCATGTTTCCAATATATCTCATAATATAGGGTGCTTAAATTTGTGAGATTAGGTGTGTTAAAAAGATTTTTGGAAGAAAAGATGTGCAAGAACTCTTCTATGCTTCAAATAAATAAACATGGAAGAAAACTCACAAGAACTCACCCCAAACTCAGCCAAAACGTGCATGTAACCCTCCATGAAAAGAGCAGGAGTAGATTTACTATTAGAGCTCAAAAAAATTTGAAAACATGGAAGAACAAGCAAGATTTAGTCTTCTAAACCAGTGCTATGAGAGAAAATGATTTGGATGTCACACTCTAAAAAGCCAAAAGTGAGCAATTCTTAATGCTAGGATGGAGAGCTCAGACAAAATCTCTCTAGAACCCAAAAAGAAATCCAAGCATAAACTTGAGAAACCATTGTTTCTTGTCCAAGAAGAAAGAAAATCTGAGAGCTTCTTTAGAATTTTGGCATGGCATGAGAAATTTTGTAGTTGGCCACACTCATCTTTACCTTTCTGATCTCTTCAATGCCAACACCATCAAATCACTCATGAATTCTCTCCTAATCTAAGAAAAATGATTAGAAAACTAAAGAACGGATTGGCTAGGTAGTGAAGTCACTAGATGTTGAGAAGGAACCCTTCAACATGGGGAGAAACACATAAATCCATCTCACTCAAAGCACAGCTCAAAATCTCTTGCATGAACTCCCCCTTTGTAATCCCAGCAAATGGGGGAGAAGGGCCCTTCTCCTAGAATAATATAGAATATTTTAATAGTGATCTCAATATAAACTACCTTGCTCTTGATTCTTCTCTAGAATCTGAAAGATTTCTTAAATCTTGCCATCTAAGATATCACTTTTCACATTGCCATGTGGATCAAATGACACTTCCAAGTGTTTTGACACTTTCTCCAATACAGCCAGCAGTTCATTGCGGAGGCATGTTGTTATTTGCCAAGTCAAATGTGTTTTTTGTGTTGAAGCAGAAGTGGGAGAGACATTGTGACATCTGGCACTGTTGGTTGTAATCTAATCTTGGATGAAGTGTTGAACAATTTCAATCACTTGAGCACTTAAGTAGGAGATGCGTACCTCCCATGGCATTTTGCATGTGTCCCAATTGTCGGCCTCAGAGTGAAGATGGTGCTGGCCTGTTCTATATCGCCAAAATTCTGCGACGTTTCCGTCACATGGGTCGACCCAATTGTCCAATCAGTGCTGACTGTGGAGAGGTAGTAGTGGACCTTTTGTTCATGATCTACACCTTGGAGCCACCACTGAAATTGAAATGTGTTGGGACATGGGTTTTCATTGAGCAGAGTCAATACCAAGACATGTTGTCAGAAGGGAAGTTTTTGCCATCACCCTTGTCCAATTGTGTTTTCAAGGTTGAACATATCTCCGACTCTTGTGGAAGTTCTTCCCCATGCCTTTAGACGTGGTAATCACCCTACACCTGATGCTACCTGTGATGTTACTTTTGTTGCCTATGTATTGATTTTAATCATCCTGCTGGCACCCTTGGCTACATGTTTTAGATCACTGGATCATCAAGAACAAGCTCGGATTTTTGCCACAAAAAAGTCTCCAGTTCTGAACCAAAGTTCTTCCTTGGTGCCTAGCTTTGAGTACACTAGTGCGATTGGTGACGTGACCGGTGGCTATTAGACTTGGATTCTCCCAAAAATTAGATAGACGAGCACCAGTGCTTTTTCGACTGAATCAAGCTCATGTGCCTTTCGAATCGACCAGAATATATCATTTCTCTCGGTTCTAGACTGGATGGCTTCGATCTTTGGCACCTTGCAGTAGAAAACGAAAGAATTAGGTAACTACCTAGCCTAGGGTTTATGATCCAGATTCCAGATGCTGGAAAGATGAGGCGGGAGTGGATCGCATGGACAAGGTGGAGGAATCGGTGGCCACCGTGCTGACGCAGTGCTGCTCGGAGCTCGGACTCGCCGACGCCAGCGACGACGGTGAGAAGAAGAAGAAGCCCTCTCCTCCTCCCCACCTCTTCCAATGGGAAGAATACGAAAACTCCCTCGCTCGTCTCTGCGGCCTCGCCACTCTCCTCTCCAAAGCCCGCGCATCCAAGGAATCCGCCGCTCGCAAGCTCGAGACTCTTGTGGAAGTAAGTTCTTAGATTTTTCTTTTTCTCAAGTAGTGAAGTACTCTACTCTCACAGACTGTGAACTTGGTCGAGCTCAAACGGATCGACGCGTTGGAATCTCTACACAAGAAGGTGGAACTCCGGCGAAAAGCGGTGGAGGATTCGACGTCCTCTCTGGAAGAAAAAAACCAGCAGCTCAAGGATGCCAGGGACAAGTTGGCGTTGTCCGGGAATTCTTTGCTTCACGCTGCTAGATCCTTGAATGCAGCGCAGTTTCGATTGCAGGTATTTATCTTGCTTGCTCGTGTGTTCTGCCACAAGTTTTTCTCTCTTTTTTCAGGAGGCCCAGAAGCTTTTGTCTGGTGATGGTGGCTATGGCAGACTTGCTCGCCTCAAGGGGCTTCTCACCGTTCGAAGGCGTGCCATGGCTGCGCAAGTTGCTGCTTTGTATCCACTCATTCCATGCACAAACGAGAAGAAGTGTCCGCCTCTTGCTCACGCAGGTACTCGCAAAAGTCTTGCTCGATCTCCGTAGATTTCATGACTTGTGCACAGGCGAAGGTGACAGCGTTCCACTTACTATCTCGGGTCTGCACGTCATTGCTCCTGTCAAAAAGGAAGCCGCGCTCTTCACCGACAAGCGAGAGTACGAAACATCGGCCACAGCACTCGGACACGTCGCTCATGTAAGTAGTATTCTTTTCTTCCTTCTTCAGAGATTTGCAACCAGAGAGAATGCTCGTGAAAGCTTCTAAATAGCAAAGATCATCTTAGGTTTCTCGGTGGAGTTTCTAAACTTTGAGCTTTGCTCGCAGATGCTCTCCCTGTTGTCTCGCTTCCTGGACATCCGGCTTCGCTACCCCGTGAGATACCGAGCCTCTCGATCTTACATCCAAGACCCTTCACCTCCGACCGAGCCGTCGACCAGCGGTGGTGCCATTGTCTTGCCGGCTGTAGAGAATCAGCTAGTTGAGTTCCCTCTTTTTTCAGATGGCCAAGAGCCTACGAGGGCGGCTTATGCAGTCTTTCTTCTAAACAAGGTCTCGTTCCTTTTCATCCAAACTAAGTTGGCATTGACAGTGTTCTTCCTTTTCTCTTTGTTTTGATCATAGGATCTGGAGCAAATTTTGGATCGCTTTGAGACAGCCAGCGCTGGTCCCAGGCATGTACTTCCTAATCTCAAGAGAATCCTCAAAGTGATGTTTCGGGATGGCCGATTCCTTGCATAGCATAAATGTAAAACGTTTCTTTGTATCCAAAACTTTCATTTTTGGCGAGACTCGAGACTTAGTTTGCTAGCCGCTTAAGTTCCATTGAATTCATAGGCCCGCTTGGCCGATTCTACAGTGTTTTGGAGGAGCATGGCGATGGTCATGGGTCCAACACCTCCAGGGACTGGAGTGATGGCCGACGCCACACTACACGCTTCTTTGAAGTGGACATCACCTACTGTGCGATGGCCTTTCTTTGCGGAAGGATCCTGCATTGGCAGCTCAACTTCAAAGCCAAAACGGGAATGGACATACCTCGATCGGGTTGATACCAACGTCAATCACCACAGCTCCTGGTTTGAGCCAGTCTTTCCGCACCAGATGAGCCACTCCAGCCGCGGCAATGACGATATCCGCAGTTCTCGTCACCGCAGCCGGATCTGGAGTGTAAGAGTGAACCACCGTCACGGTTGCATTGTGACGCTGCCGAAAAAAAAAAGAAGAATCGATCACGAACGAGTAAAACTGGAGAAAAAGAGTGGAACCTGGAGGAGCATCGCTGCTGGCGTTCCTACGATGTTGCTGCGACCGATGACAACAGCATGCTTGCCACTGATTTGCACGCCGGTTCGCAGTAGCAGCTCTATACACCCCCGAGGCGTGCACGGGATGAAAAGAGGCTGCCTTCCTTGCATGGCCAGCCTTCCAATGTTCGTGGGGTGGAATCCATCGACGTCCTTGTCCATGCTCACGGCTCCCAGGATTTCTTGCTCTCGGACGTGCTGCAAAGATGGTATAACTCGATCAATCCAAGCCCCAGTAGCTATGGAACAAAGAACAAGAACAAGATATGGAACAAAGGTAGATCGAAAGAGAGGGAGATAGAGTTTGCTTACCTTTGGGAGTGGAAGCTGGACGAGGATGCCGTGAACATCGGGATCACGATTGAACTTGTGGACGTGCTCCAAGATCTCGGCCTCGGTGGCGGTGTCGGGCAAGTTGACGCTGTAGGATCGAATTCCAGCCTGCTCGCAGGCCTTCTCCTTGCTCGTCACGTAGAGCAGCGAATCCTTGCGGCTGCCAACCAGAATAACAGCGAGGCCGGGAACTTTTCCCAGCGCGCTCTTCATCCTGGCCACCTCTTGCGCAACCTCGTCCCGGATCGCTTGCGAGATTGCCTTGCCATCGATTCTGGCAGCTGTGTCAGCTTCTTTGGCATCGGCCACTGCAAAGAAAAGAAATCGCTCGCTCGCTCCTCGTGGAATTCGAGAAGAAAACTAGAACACTTACTCTGTTCTTCCTCGGCAATGGCTCGGCAAGGAAGAAGATCGCTGCGAGCTTTCCAGTTATCGCCCGTGCTTGGAACCAAGAACAAGGATCCTTGCTTCTTGCCGCTAGACGCGAATTCCAGCGGATGGTGCTGCTGCTGGAGGTTGCTGGAAAGACCTAAATTCCTGGTGGGAGCGAGGAGCTCCACCCGGAATCTAGCGCTGGAGCACTGCTGCGATCGCAAGCTCCGCGGAATGTAGCCCGTAGCCGCCAAGCTCGCGCCACTCCTGATGCTGGCGCCCATGCCCACTCGTCCCTCGCCTCGAGGAAGAGGGTTTAGGGCTTTGGCGGCGGCCATCCAAACGCTACCTGTCTCCTTGCTCGCGAGCTCCTCGTGAATCGATCGATCTGGGGCTACGATGACACGAAACAGGCGGTGGATGGCGCTGTATACCAGGGTCGCCACCATCAACAGCGGGCACTTTGTGGACTGGGAAGAATCTGCGAGAGATAGTGGAGCATTTGGAGCGTGAGGATGATCGGAGCTTGGATTCCAGGAGTTATGGCGAGCTCATCCGACAGCGCAGCAGCGCCAGGGCTCTGGAGGAAGGGAGGTGATTGCATTCAAAGATGAAGATGCCTTGCGCGCTCGGACGAGCATCCTGGCATCTCTCCTCCATAGCGGGGAGTTTTGCAGCGTCAAGAAGATCTTTGAGGGCGATGCCAGCGCAAGTTGCCGAACTTTTTGGGCCGTCGGATCCAGCCACCTAACGTTGATGGATCAATCATGAAAACGTTGGACGCCGTCACACTCCAGCGACCTTGAGGCTGAGAAGAACAGCCACTCCTCTTCCGCTCATGCCGACCTTGAGCTTGACGAACTTGAAACTGGCCTTTTGGAGTGGCTCCTTGATGACTTTTTCGTTTTCAGCACGTTGATCTTGGCACTTGGCTTCACTCCTTGACAAGGATTGTCATTGTCGTTCTCTACATCGTTATTGTTGGACGGCTCTTCATCTGCTTCCTCCTTTGGTTTCCCTAGCGAAGATATTGTCCTCGCTCAGCTTTGTCCTCATCTTACAGTGCTTTCTTGAGGCACCTCCGGCAGAAAACGTGAGCACAGGATGTGATAACGGCTCCAGAAGGATGAGCGAGGCAGATCGGACAGTCGAAATCATCGCCCAGCGTAGCCAGCATTTTATCAGCAGCTCTGCACTGTCCTGCTTTTGTGAAGTTCAAAGTTTTTCTTCTGTTTCTCTGATCACATATCCGATGCAGCCAGAAGACCATCTGTAGCACCATGGTGTAGTCCTTCATCACCGTGCCGTTGTCCAGGAAGCCGGTTATCACAACCAAGTCTGCCCGCATGGATGTGAGAACCCTGTTAATGTAGTTGACGATGACAAGACAGATAGACTTGCTGTTGTGGATGAAAATGTAGATTGGATTTTCCTTGAGAAGCTCCTTGCGCTTACATTGATCTGAACAACCCATGATGCCACTACACGCCAGCAGAGAATGCCCTGGAATCCCGTGAGAGTGTCCTGGGGGCAAGAAAGAGATTAAGAATCACGGCACTCTAAAAGCAATCCAGCAAGAAAATCGAAGAGGTGTGAACCTGGTGTTTGCAATCAGGCATTCTGTGCACGTGGGTGAGTGCCATTCCTCCCACTGCATGAATCACGATGCAACCTGATAGCATAGGTCTGGGTGCAAAAGATTGAGCACCAATGGTCAACACATGCATGGCCTTAGGCCACTAACAGCCTCCCATATAGGCCATGGTTGAATTCACGCTTGAGGTAAATTCTAAGGCTTAAAGGTCTTGTTTTTTCAAACTTGCTCCAAAGTGTTAATAAAATGTTTTTGTAAGCTAACAAATGCAAAGTGGGGTTTGTGGTTAATTATATATCTTGGCATATGCCCAGAATATGCGTCCTCAGCCGTTATTTCGATACAGAGCGACAAGGAGGTGATTTTTATCAACGGCGCTGAGTCCTCAGCGGCGGTTCGTTCTGGAAGATGATGATCTCCTTCCCGCGGGGCAGGAGGTATGGCTTCTGCTTTGTTGTAGCGTTAATCATTCCTGGTCTCTATGTAGATGAAGCTGAATGCGATGCCACATTTGGCGAGTTGCATCGCCCTTCGAGCACCAACCTGGAGTCTGTCCGAAGGGCCCAGATGGCCAAGATACCGGATGTTTAATATGCTTTACCGGCGGCGCCTCTGCCACTGCAGCTCATGAATCCGGTCTTCGGCTTGTTCCTGGACATAGTGGATGGCCGATTTCCGATCCAATGCAAGGAAGAGGACTACGACTTCTACTGCCGGCTTGCCGAGGCCTCGTCTGCTTTCTACTCGAGCGAGTCAAAGATGATTTCCATCTTGCGCGATTTGTGGCACCGATACATTGGTATTTATGTCCAGGAGGAGATGTCCACGGGGAACTTCTCCCGGAATACTCTGACAAGTACGGATCTAGGCATCTGCGACAGCATCTCGGATGTTCTTCTAGGGCTCATCGAAGTAAAGCTAGGCTTTTCTACGAGCAGTATTGAAGCCATGGACAACCTCAAGCTTTATTACTGCAAGGCTCGACCAAAGGTAAAACTCTTGCTATCTGGCAGTTGTCATTGATCAGGTTGGGCTGGTTTTTCGGGTTGGCGGAGTTGCCATGCTCAATGGCCACTGCTGCTATCAACCGCTAACGGTGACCGTTATTGTGCCAATCCAAGACCACCATTGCCCGATGGCAGAGAAGGATGTTACGATCTGCATCACTGTAAAGAGGTGCTTGCTCAGGCTGCGGGACTTGTACAGAGATTGGCATGTGCAGGAGGCGGAACCAGCTGTTCCCTTATCCTCTGCATTGTTCCCTCAATGTGGAGTCCAAAGTGACCAAGATTCATAACAAAAGGGTTTATGTTGTTGATCAGGATGGTGAGAAGTATGTCATCAAGTATGCTCAGCGATAGGGCTGTCATGTGCATAAAGTGTGGGCCAAGGCTGGCTTGCACCCAGCTACTCACAACACTTGAAGTTCTTAGGGGGTGGATGATGGAGTACCTAAGTGTGCAGGATGGATGGAAGCCGCTGCTTGGACATCCTGAGGCGGACAGGATGTGTGCTCTGGGCACTGGTAGGTGCACACAGGTGAAAGTTGGCAACTGCAATGGCCATGTGGCTTTTCGTGTTCATGGGGATATGTGAGATGGTAATGTGATGATCAATGTTAAGGATGGTGTTGTTGACGTGTGTTTTCCTAACTTCAAATGGGCCTGTCCAGAATCAAATAGGCATTACCCCCCCTTCATGAATCCTGAGATCAACTAGGCTAATAGTGTATCTAATACTTGCATGTAAAATGGTATCTGGATCTGGCACAATTTTGACATACCGGTGGCTTAACACAAGGAGGAGGGTATTCTACTAACAAGAGAAACATGGAACTTAGGCTTAAATCTAAGTTGGAAGTAGAACAAAAAGTGACATAACTTAGGAGCTAAATTAATGTTTTATGTGCTTGGCCATGCATTCCAACTACTATCCCTATTATACATTTGGAATTCCTTATATCCCTGCTCCCCACACCCTTCCCCTTCCCCCTCCCCCGGTCCCGCCTTTTTTCCTTGAGGAATGCATGCTTTCACCTTTAGTATTAGGAGTTAGTCTCTAGGACAAGCATGAAACTTACAAAATATAGAATGACATTAGATTGCAAATCAAGGTGTAAGAAACAACACTATAGGGTTCAAGACACTCTTTACATTCACCTCTTGAGTGGATCTAGACACTTACTATAAATAGTATATAGAATTAAAATGGGACCAACACATGAGGTATGATAGTAAGGGTGTCTAATGGATACGATAAGCTATCATGTAATGATATTAAGGGAAACTCAATATTATGGGGGTTCTTGATGCTAGCAAATACAAGCCAATGACACAAATTTTTCAAACTAGACCAAATATGCTCAGCAAGAGTTCCTTCACATATATTGACAAGTTCCTCAACTAACTCAAATGGGAACTATAAAGGGAATTAATTGTATTAACCTCTTACCATTATAGCAGTAAAGAGAAAGTGTCTGTAAGGACTTGTCGATAAGTATTTTTCAATACGCAAAGTCATATTTGTGACACAAACATTCTCGTTTGTGTTGGTCCCATTTCGATCCCATTGACTATTTATAGAAAGTATCTAGATCTACTAGTTGAGAATATTGATAGAATGTAGAGATTGTTTTGAATAGAATAGTGTTTTTGCTTCTAAATTCACAATCTAACACCATTTAATATATAAGTTTTCATAATTGTAGTAAAGACTAACTCTTGTAAAGGGCTGCAAGGGGTTCCAAAAGTATAGTAGAGAGAGTGTAGGGGTGTAATGCACCTTATCTCTCTCCCTTTAAGTCAATTGAAAAAGGGGCAATTGCTTGATGAAAGAGCCTTTAATGACTATTTTATCCCCCAATGTTCTAAGGATCCACAGTGACAGTATATTTAAATCTCATCCCATGATCACATACGTTACAAGGGGTTGAACTCCAATGGAATCAATTTGGCTAGGAAAGGCTAATGTGGCTTAGGAAAGGCTAATGTGGCTTAGGAAGGCTATACCCATATGTTGGGTGATGATATAACCACTCGAAAGTCCCCTTGCTTCATTATAGTATATATGATTATAGTATGAGATTTGGATATATTATTGCCATGGATCTTTAGAACTATGGGGGATATAGATACAGATAGACAAGCGGGGTAGCTTGGTGAAGTGTTCAAGAGCTGGCTCTAGCTCTCCTAGAAGATCGAATAGTTGATGCTCTTAGTTAAGTGTGGGTGACACTACTTAATTGAATACCTAGCGTGGCTCATCGAAACCTTACTTTAGCCATTTAGTTAGGGCACCCAAAAGTGGATGGTGGAAAAAGTACCTATGAGGCTCACATAGGGCTGTGGTGTTTCGAAATGTCATCCCAAAGTCTTAGACTATGGAAAGGAAGAAAAGCAATCCACTTATAGAGTGACCAAAAATGATGTCATATAGCAAGGAAGTCTTAAATGTCATTGGGATATAGTGGTCGGGCTTATATGCCTTAACCTAGTGGCAATGTTGGCAAACATGACCATGGATGGAAAGGGATTTGGTAGGGACTGAAAAAGGGATATTAGGGAAAATTATTCCCCATGTTTGCAAGCATCTTGAGGATGCTAAAGAGTGGATATGAGATGATCATTCATGAATGGATGGCTCAGTCTTTGAGAGGTGGGATTGTGATGTAGGTGGTGTTGGACCACCAGTGTGACAAAGGTGAATGAGCATGGCATTAGCATAACAAGTTGATATATTGATGATATTTTTAAGTGTCAGTCTGGGATTAGACATGTGGAGCACTTGGACCAAGTGCAAAGGTTGAGTGGTATAAATGCAATTTTTGGGGCTAGTAAATCCTTAAGTTTAGAATAAAACTTATGAAGGTTGAGAGTGAGACTCCTCCATGTGGTCGAAGTTGTGATTAAGTAACTAAAGTAGAATGGAAAAATTAATCACTTACATATGGCTTCTCGGTAATGATAAATCTTTGTAATATGTCCTTCTTTTTCACAAATCTAACATTTAGAAAACTATAACTTATATTTTATTATAACATGTCTTTCAATTTTTTCATTTTGTACATCATACTCTTTTAAGTTTATTCTTTATTGTGACTTTCTTGAATATCTTGGTGAGGTCTTGTTTTCTGTTCTTTTTCTTGTATTCAAGCTTGTATTTTTCTGATTACTAAATGAGTCTTCATTTCTTGAGAATTTAATTTTTTGAGAATTTTTGAGAATGTTTTTGTAGAACTTTCTTTGACAGTCATATCAACTTTAGTATTGTCATCAACACTTGCCATTGCAACCATTTGTTAATAAATTTTTTTCAAACCGTGTATATGCTAAATATACTTACCTTATCCAATTAGTAAGTCTTTGTATGTTTTGCATTGTTTTTGAATGTTTAAGTCATTTTTAATGTCTTTTTTACTTCTTTATTTGATATTTTTAAGATGTTCAAAATGTTCAATTATAGTTCCTCTAGGTTGGTACTTTTTTATAATCATTTTATCTTATTTTTGAATTTAAGTTTTTTGTAGAAGTTATAATACCATTCTAATGCTTTATGTTTGAGAGTGAATGCGATAAAAGATTTTCATTGTTTTGTTACTGGTTAACTTTAATAATCAAGTTGAATTGTTATAGATTTTCAGTTTTGTTATTAGTGAAGATTAGATAGGTAATCATATTGTTGGTTAATGAGAGCTATTTCTTTAAAAATTATCGATATTATAGCATTCCTAGTCTGGATTCTCTAGTGGTGGTAAATTTTATTCTAAATCTTCTAAATCTTATTATGTTGAGTCTTTAGTATTCTTTTAGCTTGATTCTCTTACTTATATTATTTGGTTCATTTTGTTACAGTTATTAATAGTGTTCTCAAAGATTTCTTCTTTAATTTGAGTATTTTTTTGTTTCTAAAGTTGGATGAAATCCTCTATTATCTTTTCATTTTTGTTGTTATTGATTTCATTCTTGTATCTTGACCAAGTTGGGTTTATATGTATATATTTAATATTCTACTGAAATCTTGTACTTCATTTCTTGAATTCAATGTCTTGAATTTGTTTTCTTGACTTTGTCTTTTAGTCTTTGGTATATTTATTCTTCTAGAGTAAATGTTATATAGTTGTAAAATTGTGTAATGTAGAATAACACAATCTTATATATTGGTATTTTTATTGCTATATCATACTCAACTTGATAAATTTGATCAATCTTCAATAAGATTGTTGTTTGACAATTTTAGAATCAAATAAAAATGCATATTATGGCTATTCTTTTTGCAAGTCCTTGTTGTAAATGTATTCAAGATATACCTTTAATTGTGTTGTGTCAATCTTTTGTATGCACATTATGAGCATTTGTGTTTTGCAGTCAATAGTGATATTTGAAAAATCTAAATTGAGTAATGGTTGTATTTGAAGTGTTTTTGTCCTCGATGTTGTTGTTAAAAGAGGTTTTCAAATTTTTAATTCTTGTAATTTTTGCAAATTAACTTGGTTAAGAGTTGAAGTATTTATGAGTGTCTCTATTGTTATTTTGCCCAAGTTTTATTTTGTATTTCTTTATCAATTAACTCATATATAGCTACACCAATAAGTGTGATGTATCTTTAAAAGTATTCAAGTTTAATGATTTTCTTGATTTCTTAAAATATAAAGGTTAATAGTCTCTAGTAGATTGAATTGACTTCATTTTGTATATGCTATTTTATTTTTTCTTTTTGGCAAATGCGTTTTTGATCTATGTAGATGTAGAAGATCTAGAAAAACTCAACAATGAGTCTCCATATGTAAAGCTTTATCTTATTTTATTTTCCTATAAATTTTTTACTGTGGATATTGATTCATAAATATATTGGTTTATGGTTTTCTTGATTTTATTAGTTATGAACTAAGTTGAAGATTCTTTCTTGAATTTCGATAAGGTTTCAAATTAGGTTTCAAATAAGGTTTCAAATCCAAATTAGGCTTTAAACTCTTATGAAATGGTCAAACCAAATATAATTTTCCTTGCATATACTCCCATTTTTTTTAATTTTTCTTTTTGTTGTTTTTTTTTTCTTTGTCTTTAATCTTTATAGCAATCTTTTTTATGATATAATAATTATATTGTCTCTTTATGTAGTATATTGTGTAGAGTTTAGCGTAATTTAAAAGCCACAAATGAGACAATCTTCATATCTTGTACATCTTTAATTTCTGAAAGAATAGTTGTGTTGTTTCATCAATATTTTACATTTATTGAAATTTTTCTTTAGTGTCGGGAAATCTTTCTTAAATTTGTTAAAACTATTTTGTAAGTATTAAAAAAATTTCTTAATTGTTAAAATCTTGAGTCTTAGTCCACTTCTTGTTGAATTGATTGTAATTGCTTTAGGTTTGTGAAGTAAATTTTCGCCATCTTTAATAGGATTGAGTTCTCTTTTGGTCGAAATTTTTCATAATCTTTAAGATTTTTTATTTTGCTGCCTTTTTTGTTTCTTTTTGCTTTTCTTAAAATCTTTTACTAACAATTCATTTCATCTTACAATACCTTCTCTCTCATAATGGCCACAAATGAAAATACTTATGTTTTGGTGTATCTATATTGTATAAAAAAGTAAGAGTGTAAGTTCCTGAATTTGAACTTCCTGGGAGGTCATCCAGCCCAATACTATTCAAACCCAAGGACAGTTAACTCTAAATATCTAAAGACTCTTAACTGATTGGAAAAGAGAGTGCACTTTTATTCATAAGGCCTTTTCTTTTATATTTGAACCCTATAGATCGTCTCTCAATTCGTTCTCTTTAGTTGTTTACAATCTATCACGTTTCCTTGTAAGTTCACACCCTCGTGAACGAAAGTTGAGAGCTTCAGCTTTCCTGAGAGCCCCACTCTCTTAACACTCTACCCCTCGGGTTGAGTTCAGTGGGAGCAAATTGGACCAGCCAGATGTTAATCAATATGTGATGTAATTCCCCTAGCTAACCAACATAGTCGGACCTAAAACCCCTTTGATACCAAATGTAAGCTCCTAAATTTGAATTTCCTGGGAGGTCACCAAACCTAATACTATTCAAACCTAAAGACACTTAACCCCAAATATTCCAAGACCCTTAATCGATTGGAAAAGAAGGTTTTATAACGACTCTTGAGGTAAACACAAACAAATATACAAAAAATGAAGAAAAAAGAATGACTCAAATTCTTCAATCTCAAAGAAGGTTTATATCAAGGTCATGAGTGAGAATAAACTTGGCATTGCTAGAGTATTTCAAATTTTAAGTATGTGAATATGCAATTGATGATAAAAAGTTAAAATACAAAAAGATTGCTATTTAGTCTTATGTAATGGTAACCCTTTTTTAAATATCTAAATGTTGGAGTCTTGAGACTTAGGATGATGCTTCTAAATGCATAATTAATTTCCTATACTCTAGCTAGTATTTATGACTTTTAATTTATTATTGTGCTATAACATGACACCTAAATGTTGAGCTGTCATGAAATACAAAAATGTATTTTTGGGTGATACTGGATATATTTAGAATATAGTTTGGATAATTTGGGATATTTTACCAATTAACTATTCTTATTCATTTAAATCAATGTTTTATTTATAATTTATAAGCTTTACTTTTTAATATATTAGTATACTAAGTTTATAATTATTGATCAACTGGATTAATAAATAACTACCATTAAGCAAACCAAGATAACAAATAGTGCTCTTGGTTAGGGTTTTAGATATGAAGATTTGCCATGGAATAACCCCCTACATGCAAAGAAGGAAATTGTCCTACTTTCCCCACCCAAGATCATAGTCTTGATCTGGTTAAATTCACAAAATAACTTCCAATTCCTAAACAAATGGAATCAAACATAGATTAAGTCATTGCTAAATTCATAAGCAAAGTGATGAAAAAAAATAATTTGGAGTAAATATAATAATGAATAGTCCTAGATTCAATCTCTGACAACAACAAAAATTCCTTTTATCAATATGGCTTCACTCACTCTAGGGTGTTCAGAGGCACTTTGAGCTGCTTTAGCTCCAAGTTGGAGTGAATATGTCAGTGGACAGCCATTTTTGAGTTCTTATAAGCTTCAGAATGATGGTTTGCAAACGTTTGTGAATAGTTCATGCTCTTGGCGCTGTTTGATTGAACATCCGACATGAGTTCCAGGAGACCACATCCGGCTAGAATCCGGTCAAAGAAGTCTTTCATCTCCAATCTTTGCTTTTGAGGAGACCAAGCTGTGTAGAGGCCCGAATCAAGCACCGTCTTGGTGCCGTGAGCATCGTATTGCTGTGCAAAAGCCACAAGGAGAGCGTTTCAGGACGAGACATCCCACCTCGGCATGAGATCAAACAAACTTCTGGCCTTCTCCAGTTCCCCATTGAAGGCATAGCCAGCGATCATCCCATTCCAGCTGACAATGTTCCTCTCTTGCATCTCGTGAAAGACCTCCTCCATCTTCCACACTTGCCGGAATCCCCATAGGCCGTGATCATCCTGACACAGGCAGAGCATAAGAAATCGTCGCCAGGATCCCGTGCGTCAACAATGCCATGAGGATGCCCGTGTGGGATTTCATCTCTTGCAATGGAGTGGCCATCTTCAAGCAAATCTCATATCCTTGTGAGTCGATCACCCAAGACGTGAAAGGAGGCGCATGGCGCTGTGGGGCTACAATCCCAAGCGCGTCGCCACCATCAACAGCGGTACTTTGTGGATTGGGAAGAGTCTGGGAGAGCATTTGGAGAGTGGGGATCATGGGAGCTTGGATTCCAGGAGCTATGGCGAGCTCATTCGACAGTGCAGCAGCGCCAGGGCTCTGGAGGAAGGGAGGCGATTGCATTCAATCATCGCGAGGAGCGATCGGTGGCGGCACGAGACTTTTCTGGGGAATTTGCTGGTCCAGATGTATGGGAGCTGCAAATCTCTGGGGGATGCAATCTCGGTGTTTCGGGGAATGTCGCGGCGAAACAGCTTCTCGTGGAATATCATGATCGCGGCAAATGCCCAAAACGGGCAATCTGATTTAGCGCGAGATGTGTTTCGCAAGATGCCTTGCGTGGACAATGTTTCTTGGACGAGCATCCTGGCTTCTCTACTCCATAGTGGGGATTTTGGCACCGTCAAGAAGATCTTTGACGAGATCCCAGAACGATGCGCAGTCGCATGGAACGTGATGCTCGTGGCGTATGCCCGACAGGGGCATCTTCTAGATTTGATAGATTCCTTTGAGAAGATGCCTTTTAGGGGTGTGGACTCTTGGAATGTGATGATCAGAGCTCTGGATCGTGAATCCGCCAAGGTTGTCTTCGATCGAATGCCCGGAAAGGATGTAATCTCCTGGAACACGATGCTCTCTTCTTGTTCTTCTTCTTTGCCATCTTTTGCTATGAAATTGGATCAAACGAAGCAGCTCTTCGACTGTATGCCACAGCACGACGCAATCTCTTGCAGCACCATGCTCTCAGCATTTGCCCAAAGAGGAGATTTGCTGCGAGCAAGGCAAGTATTCAATTCTATCGATGATCACGACTCCATGGCATGGACAACGATGCTCGCCGCTTATCTCCACAACCACGATCTCTCCAAAGCCACCATTTTCTTTTTCCAAGAGATGCCACATCGAGACACTCACGCGTGGAGCCTCTTGGTGGCGGCATATGCCCAAACCGGGCATGCCACGCAAGCCGTACGGCTCCTCTGCCACATGGACTCGGAGGGCATAAGGCCGGATTGCGTGACGTACACGCGGATATTCGACGCGTGCGCGGAATCGTCCAGCCTAGCGGAGGGGCAGCTCGTCCACGTCGGCATGAACGCGCACGGCGACCTGGAAAACGATACGGTAGTGGGTACGGCGCTGGTGTGCATGTACGGGCGGTGCTGCCGCGTGGATGCCGCGAGGGCGGCATTTGACAAGGTGGTGCGCAAGGACGTCGTGACGTGGACGGCCATGCTGACTGTGTATGCCCACGCCGGGCATCTGGAGGAAGCGGAGGCACTGTTTCGCGAGGCGCCAGAGCGCAACGTTTTGGGATGGAATGCGATGCTTCGGGCATATTCTCAGCATGGCCAAGCATCTTCCTGTGTCCATGCGCTCCCTTGGATGGAACAAGAAGGGATTCTTCCAAACGAGAGCACATTTATCACTGTTCTCGACGCCTGTGGATGTGACTCCGCAACTTTGACATTCGCCCAAGCAAGGATGATCCACTGCTTCGTTGCTGAGAGTGGTCTCGAATCAAACACTCTCGTCGGGACTGGGCTAGTGAACTTGTATGCCAAGTCTGGATGCCTCCACCAAGCTCGAGAAGTTTTCCACCGGATTGTCTCCAAGGATCTCATTGCCTGGGCTGCGATGATTGCTGCTTATTCTCGAAATGGTCGTGGAAAGCCGGCGCTGGAGCTCTTCCAGCAGCTCCAAGTCGAAGGTGTGGAGGAACCCAACAGCGTTGTCTTCACGAGCGTTCTCAGTGCTTGCGGCAGTGCTGGACTCGTCGGAGATGGGCGAGACAATTTCCTGTCGTTGGAGGCGGACTATGGAATAACTCCGTCCATGGAGCACTACGTTTGCATGGTGGACCTTCTCGGACGCACGGGAAAGATAGAAGAAGCCGATGCCTTGCTCAAGAGCATGCCTTTTGAGCCTCATGTTGTCGGATGGACGAGCGTCATGTACACTTGTGGAAGTCATGGCGATGACGAAAGAGCTCTAGCAGCGGTCAGGCAGAAGACACAGCTGGAAAAAACTTGGAAGGGAAAAGAATGGCTGACAATTAGTTAGTAGGAGATCGTAAAGAATGAACAAACCGCCTATTTGCGCCAGTTTTTCTGGCCGATCAAAAGCCTTTGATCGCCATGACCCGGTATTTCAATTATTCGCGCCTCCCAGCGGATCTGGACGAGTAGAGAACGAGCCGTCTCGACAACTTGCGTCTCGTCTTGCAAAAGTACCCATCCCTGTTGCATGCGACAAGTTAAACACTCCATCGGCAGATAGCATCAGCATATTTTACCTCGGGTCGCAGTATTCGATCCATTTCAAGTACAATGACAGCTAGTGTACATGGCTTGGGCTTTTGTAGCTCCTGCGAAAGGAGAGATCTCGCGTACAACAGGTCATATGATCTGGGATATGTTGGAAAAGCCTCGCACCTGTTCCAAGAAAAGTTCTTCAGTTAAAATGAAAAGAAGCCGATGCAGGCAATACCAGTCGTGATGGACACCAAGCAGTCCTCGGTCGAACACCGCAGAGAGAGTATTTGGTGCGGAAGTAGGAACGACATTCATCACCCAAACCGGCTTTCCAGTTGTGAGGAGAGCAGCATTAAATCCACCGTACTGCGCGTTCATGTCCATAATATTCCTCACAACATTCTTCGGAGCTGGCGGATCATCATCTGAAGGCCTTTTCGGATGATCCGAAAAGATTACTGGCGTGAAGAGGGACCAGTAGTTGGACAATTTTGCCAACCATGATTGTACATCCTCGTTGAAATCTTTGGAAACCATTCCTGCAAAACACTCGCACTTATCAGTCGGTTGACAAACAAGTTAACAAACTAACGATACCATATCTCGAAAGACGTCTTGCCGTCAGCATAAGCCGGTTTGGCCACAAGTGCTGCTGTTGTACTGTCCGCCATCTCCCGTTCGGTGCCTCAGTTACACATGGCCGCAACGGCTGGTACAACAGCACGTCGAGAGGATTTTTCTTCTCGCACATAGTCGAACGCCTGTGGATGATGCATTTAGCTAGATCGAGAAGTGAAAAATGTATAACTGCTTATACCTTGAGGTGTAGCATCGTTGCTTTGTTGTTTTCTGCCATATAACGGTCCGCTGGTTGTGCGCAAGTTGACTCCAACAGATACTGGATGTCAACTTCCCCATTGTTTTCAGGATACTGTTGGATGACTGGTCTAGAAACGGGAGGGTCCAAACGAAATATCCCCCGGGGCGAAGCAATCTATTCACTTCAAAGAGAAGCAAACCACCTACAAGACTATGCGCACGTCAATAATAATCTAAGCGAGGAAAGAGCTGCAAAAACCTTTATCATGCCATTGAGCTCCGCAGTCCTTGCAGTGAATCATGTCGTAGGCAGACAATGAAAACGGAAGCTGCATCGAAGAGATGGAGCCGATCATGGCTGGCAGGCCACGTTCCTGAGCAAACTGAACGGGAGCTCCATGCTCCTCGTAGGCGGATATAGACATTGTTAGCACATTTCTTGACAGAAGAGTCGAAGAAAAGGCAGCCATTCCACATCCGATGTCCAGTGCCAATCGAATCTGTGGAAATCTTGTAAAATAAAGAACAAAGAAAATGCAAGATGACGTACCCCCATCTCTGTAAAAGTTCTGTTCCCACCAGCAGATATCATTTCTTCAAGCTGTTGAACGTATCCCTCCATGAGAGATTCTTCAGATGGAAAGCTTATCACGCTTTCTTCAATGAGAATCCTGCACAAGCACAGCCCATTCAGTGAACTTGTTCTAAGGAAAAGAACATCATCACCTCTCTAGACGCTCTTCAGTTACTTTGAGGTTGCTGTTCCAAAGACTTCTTTGGCTAGTAGGCCACCTCGGCGGCAAACGATATCCTTTGGGAGGCTTGACGATACACTGCTTTTGGACCTTGCACTGCCTCTCGAACTCTTGTCCATTCTTGAATCCGGCCTTGATACTAGCAGCCACATCGTAGCAGGGAACGAAGTCTTCCATACCGTCAGGACACCCTTTCACATTCTTAAGACTGGGAGCTCGTCCAAGTTGAAAGCCAGGGTCATAGCCCAACACTTCAAGAGCTCCCCCCTCTTGGTACCGCCTGTAAGTGCCGGTATAAACACGGTGCTTGCTCCTGGATCCTCCCAGGACGGCCACAAGGACGAGGATACTAATGAGGCAAAGAGCTAGACACTTGAGAAAAGGTACCAAAAGCCTGCTCCTGATCCGGGCAGGACTCACGGACTCCGAGGATAAGGGTGGACTCAAAGGACGAGACTGAGACTGAGAGGGAGCACTAAATCCCATGATCGAGCTGCAAAAGGCAGAAAGACCACTGTCAAGGACTTTCGATGGCTTGGGAGAGTGATCTTGGCCAGAGGTGCTCAAAAGGGGGAAAAGATGGAGCAAGCTGAGAATGGAGCATCTAGATCTGAGGTGATCTTCACGGGAGTCGGACTTGGCTTTGAGGCAACCGGGTACCTTGACGCTCAGCAATGCACGATGCGTAGCACGACCCATGCTCTAAGCATTTGGGTGAAATTTCCGGCTGCAATGGAGACAAGAGACTGGGATGAAGCTAGCTCGCAGCCTGCATTGGAGATTTTGGGCGCCTACCTCATCGATCGATCCCTTATCACTGCCGGAGAGCAGCCGCATCCCCGAATTCCAAGCAATGGCTGCTGCTAGCAGGCGCTTTCACGGGAGATCTAGAGGTCCCACATTGCACGCCTGGAATGCACAAAGAATGGATTAGACAATGACAAAGCCGAGATGATCGTCCAATAAGAGCTACAGAGCGGCTAGCTGACAAACGATCGATGAGATCGAGCTGAGCGCACGGTTGCTACAAGCGAGCATAAACCCTAGCTATGGCGCCCGGGCCATGGGCATTCCGCGATGCTTCTTAACCATCGTTAACAATCAATGATGGATCACTGTAACATACGTCAGATGAAAACAAACGATCCATCCAATCCTCTGCTGTGCCGCCGACGCTGCCACGTGTCCAGAGCATTCTTTCTGACACATCATCCTCCACGTCACGGCATTTCGGCCAGGCTGGCAAAATAGCGCACCTTCCGCATTCTAGGTTTTCATCTCAGCCCTAATTTGGACGTGGCGTTGCGGTGGATCGGCTGCTGCGATTCCCGGCGTGGATCGATCGATGCAGGTAGGCGCCGGCGCGAATCGATCGATAGGCCGCGGGGAAGTCGAGGTAGAAGCTGCCGGGATGCGGTAATCGACCTCTCGCGGAGTGGGTTTTCATGAATGGGAGCCACAAATCCAACTGGGTCGATGCTGGTACTGGAGGATTTCCCATCGCACGCCGGGAAGCCCTTTAGCAATGACGAGATCATCGGCATGGGCATGGCGCTGTTGCCGGGCCACTCCTCCAAGCAGCCGCAGCAGCAGCTCGACGAGGATTTCAAGCAAGAACACCAAGATGATCAGTACGAGGAGCTCAAGATCCAGGACTACGTCAGCGACACGCCACCCTTCACGTACAACCTGGAGGAGTTTCGATCCCAGAAGTACTACCTCTTCAACGCCGGGGCTCACGATCTCATGATCAACAGCTTGCTCGAGTCCACGAATCCGTCGGCGCTGGAGATCTCCGCGGCCGATCCTACATTCCAGCCACTTCCATGGCAGAACAAGCGCGGCATAACTTTCACCTGTGCGATCGAGGACCGGTGGAGGGACTTCAAGGCCAAGCTCGGGGTGAAGATCGACGCTTCCAGGAAGAGGTTCTTGTTCCACAAGAGGGATGCAAGCCGCTACATTCCTCACTCTGGACAGTGGCTGGAGATCGTCAAGGGGTGTCACATTGATGCTGCCGAGAGACACTGGGGCCGGAACTTGACCAAGCACCAGATCACCAAGCGATGGATGTATGGCGAGAGAAACCACGGCATTCCAGAGGCTTTCGTGGACGCTTTCATCGATAGCTGTGGGTGTTGCCGGCGAGAGCAAATCCCCGTGGCGCCGCCGCCACCTCTGCCGAGCAGGAAGAGGAAGCTCGGCGGCAAGAAGCTCAACACTTCGACGCTGTTTGACGTCCAGTTCATCAAGCAGAAGCTGGACGAGATCGCCCAACAGGTGGCGGCAGCAGCGCAGCTGGATCGAGGGGCGAGCTTGAAGCACCCGAAGCGTTTCGTCGAGGGTGGGGGTCCTTCGTCGGCGGAGTTTGAGAAGATCGACGAGGACGAGCAGACAAAGCTCAAGGAGAAGATCACCGCGATTCGCAACCAGATGGATTCCATGCTGGTACACTTGCCGTCCATGTCAAGAGGGAACTTTCTCCATTTCCTGGGAGCCATGGACGAGGCTCTCACGGAGCTCCGGAATCCAGCGCTAGACAGGCAAGCGCTTGCTGCCAAGGTAAAAAAAAAATCTCTTTTTTTTTCAACACTTTCTAAAATTCTCTGGTCTCTTTTCAGCTGCCAACGATTGAGCAGCATCCCATTGAAATCGAGAAACCAAAGGAGTCCTCCAAGCCAACCAAGAGGGTAAAATGGAAGGACATATCTTCGTAAGAACCACACAAAAAAAAAAGAAGAAAGAACAAGGCAAGGAGGAAGTTTTATGACTGTACATGACCGTGGCTATAGTCTAGGTAGATAAGATTTTGCTTCTATTTCTGATCGAATCGATATTTTTGCTATAGTTCTCCAAGGTGTCAAGAAATCAAGATCTTTTCTCCCAGCTTTGATCGACAAAGTTGTGATTTTTTTTCACAAATCTTTTGGTACGAATGAAGAGTTTCTTTGGCACAAATGAGAGTCCAGTACATAGGAGGAGGATTTGCACCCTGTCGCGAGTAACTTCTTCTAGTTGATCCTCCGGCAGTTCTTCCGGATCTCGCCTTGGCTCCCCGTCTTGACTTCGATGAGGCTCATCTTCACCATGGCGTCGGGGAATTTCTGGAGCCAAGTTGATCCAAAGAAGGAATTGAGAGCCACATTGAGCGTGGTGGATCCGTCCGTGAAGAGGAGCTCGTCCGAGGCGAGCAATCCCCTGCCAAGCGCGAGGTTGGAGTAGTAGCTGTTGTCGAAGGTGTTGGGCGTGGGGTCGAGGCTGACGACGGTGTTGGGATTGGGATTCTCTCGCGGGCATTGGGCTTTGAGGCTCTGCGCGAAGGTTGGATCGAGAGAAGGGTCCGTGTCGGCACTGCTGCTGAATCCATACAGCCGGTTGATGAAAGTCTTGCAGTGTGCCACTCCGATGGTGTGAGCTCCTGAAAGATCAAGCTATGGATTCTCGATGGAAACAAGAAAGATGGTGTGTCTTGCCTGAGAGAGTTATCATGTTGTCTTGCGAGAGGCCTTTGGCAGCGAAGCGCTGTGTGAGCTGATTGATGGAGAAAGAAGGGTCGGGCAAGCTGGACGTAGCCTCGGCTGCCGAGGAGATTCGCCCGTCTCGTCGTCCCGCGGGAACGTCCCAGCGCGGCCCTCCAACCTGTGGCACAAGAAAAACTCGATTGAGTTTCTGTCGATTCTCTCCAGCAAACTTAGCAATCGATCGACCTGGACGACTGCATCGCGCGTGGCAAACGCGAGAATGTCCGCGCACGAGACTGTTCCCGGGCACTTTGCCTCGAGCTGCGCCTTTGCGGCGTCAATCACCTCGAACCCCCGGAGCGTCTTGTTTGGCGGGGCGTCCTTCTCGGCTCCACCTTTGGTGCTCGGCGTGGTATCAATCAGCACGGAAGCATCGCATCCCTGACCATCCAGGAGGAGAAGTGAGAAAGCAGAGGAAGCTCGGTATGAGAAACTGGGAGAAGTTTGGCAACCTGGACGAAGCAGTCGTGGAATTGCAAGCGAAGAAGTCCAGCGGCCAATCCTCGGTTGGCCGACACCGCGCTGCTAACCACATTCTTGACGATTGATTCGGCCTGCGGACACGTCGTGGAGTAGAATCCAACTTGGATTTTCTGCGCATCAATGCTGCCCAGTCGCGGCAGCGAAATCAAGACAATGCATTCGAGTAGCAGCAGCAGTGGCAGCAGCATTGTGTCGAGGGCTGCGATCTAAAGAAAATTCCCACTCGTGAAAGCTAGAAGTACTTGTGTAAGATAGAAAAGAATGCTTGTCTCGACGCTCTTATTTTGCTCGATCGCGAGCTAGCGCGCCTTTTGGCCTTGCTCGTTTTATGGGACACTGGTCGTCTCAACAAACTGTGTGTCAGCGAGTGGGAGCAGCATTCAAGGTGGCAAAGCTCGTATCCAGCTAAGGAAGATGTTATCGCTCTTGCGATTGCGAGGATTACCACTGCGATTCCTCAAAAAAAAAAAAAAAAAAAAAGCCACAGACTTGACAGAATCACGGGATGCTTACGCCCGACGAGCAAGAGACAATATCTGTGTAAGAAGGAACAATCAATCCGCGTCTGTGGCTGTACCAGAAAAGAGAAAAAGACCATTTTTGAGGCTTGGATTCTGGCTTTAACTCGCTTTTGAGGAGCAAACATTCCCTGCGATCTTCCAAAAGCTCATGCTTGAGCTCAAGCTAAACACGGAAGAATCGATCTGGCATGGCAGCAAACTTTAGCTATTCATGGCTTCTTGTCGAGGAGCTGGATGTTGTTTAGCCGCTCCAGCGCGAGGACGAGCGCTTGCGTGCCGAGGTTGCCATCGCCGTGAGCTTTGAGAGACACGTAGAGCTGCTGCGCGAGAGCGAGGCCCGGGAGGCAGAGATCCAGCCTAGAGCACTCGTTGATCGCGATCCCCAGATCCTTGACGAAGTGATTCACGTAGAAACCCGGCTGGAAGTCCCGGCGCTGGATCCTCTGCGCGTACAGCTCCAGGGACTTTGATCCCGCCGCCCCGCCGGCTATGGCTGCCACGTAGCTCTCCACGTCCAGCCCGGCATTGTGCGCGAAGAGCATCCCTTCCACCAAGCCCACCATGGTGGTGGCGATGGTTACCTGGTTGGCCAGCTTGCAACTCTGGCCACTCCCGGCGGCGCCCATGAAAGTTGGCGATCCCATGCACTGGAAGAGCGGCGCTAGAGCGGTGTACACTTCCAGATCGCCGCCAACCATGATGGAGAGCTTCCCGGCCTTGGCGCCGCGATCGCCACCCGAGACCGGGGCGTCCAGCGCATGGCAGCCGCGATCCAGCGCGCGAGCAGCGATCTCTCGCGCCAGCGCTGGCTCGCTCGTCGTCATGTCCACCACGATCCCGCCCGGCTCCAGCCCCTCGAGGATTCCCAGCGGGCCGAGGATTACCTGGCGAACGTCGGCAGGGTAGCCGACGATGGTGAAGACGACATCGCTGCGCTGCGCGACCTGGAGCGGGGAATCGGCCAGGAATGCCTGGCCGGGGCCGCACAGATCTTGGGCCTTGCTGGGCGTGCGGTTGTAGACCGTGAGCGCGTACCCGGCGTCGAGGATGTGGCCACACATCCATCGCCCCATCACTCCAGTGCCGATCCATCCGATGCGTGTCTTGCCCGGCGCGATTTCTCTCTTCCCTGATGATGCTGCTACTTTGTCCGCGGCCATAGCTGCCGTTACCGTGGGTGTAATCCACCTCTGGAATCTAGCTAGGGAGCTGACGAATCGCATTTCCTTCTCAGCCCTGGCATCGCGTGAACAGCAGTGACCTAATTCCTGTAATGCATGTTTCATTATTGGCATGTTTCATATGGAACAGTACGGTTTTATGAGAGAGAGAGAGAGAGTAGCCTCAGCCGTGTGTAGCCTAGGCAGCAAACGATGGCATCTTCCACGTCCACGTCCTTGACCTCCTGTTTGCGGACCGGGCATCGCCGGTCTGCCCAGGCCGTCACCACGCTCCGATTACGCTATGGAGATTGTGCATCTCCAGTCAGTATCTCGAAGCGTTTGCAGAGTTCGTTTCCCGAGTGGGTTGTAGACTGGAGGCCCGATTGTTCGAGTGATGTTTACATTGGCGAGATAGTATTGGAATTTTGTCTTGCGATCTGCGCCACGTAGCCAGCTTTTGAATGCCAGGCTGATCCAGCTATCGGGGACAGTGGTAACTGGTTGCTGGAGGAGAGTGTCCAGATCGACTTTAAGTTTCTTTGTCCGTCGCCTACAGTCATACCACCAGCCCGTGTTGTGACTGTCTGCGAGCAACTGGGAATCTTGAATTGCCACACACACACAGTGTCTCTGCGGGCGGTTAGGAGGAATTGGAGTGTGTCTCTCCACGCCAGGATTTCTGTTGGCATGGGAATTGGTTACAGCGCCCGAATTCCGGGCACCAATACAGGAGGATCAGGGGTGCTGTAATGTGTGCATCGCACATCTGTCGCATCCCATCGATATATGTTCGCGTTTCGCAGACTTGCCAAAAGTTGACGGTGTGCTCGTTGAGCAGCAGCAAGCTTGGTGTGCACTTCTACCTTCTAAGGACGTTGCTGATGCAGGGTGATGCTTGTACTGTGTTGCTCTTGTGGCATCATGGCCTGAATATAACAGGGGGGGGTCCCTTCCCGAAAGCCAGCAGCTCTGTAGCTCTGTGTCTTACTGAGAGCTGTGTTCGTGCGCAGAATCTCGCGAGCGCATCACCCTGAACCACAATAAATAGAGTGTACTTGTGACCCACAAATTGCATAGACCACATGTTGTAAACGTACAATACAGGGACTATAGATTTTTTTATTGATGTTAAATGAGTGGCTGAAAGAATGCACAGATCAAACAGCGTGCACGTTAGTGCTACATGAATAAAAAACGTGAAATGTGATCTCTATTGGATCACTGGTATAAATACCCCTTCTCTTGCCCATGTTTTCACCAACCTAGTTCTTTCTTTTGCACGCACAGATTTTAGATCAAACAGTTTTCACAACGCAACCATTTCAGAATGGCTGCAATCTTGTTGATGATCGTGTTGATGGCTGCAGCATGGAAGATGGTGTGCATTGGCAAGAGAAAAGAGAGAGCGAGATTTCTAGCATCACTCCACCCCGTGAGAGATGCCCACAAGATCTTGTGGTATATGTACTCGGTGGAATTCCCCTTCCTCTCACAAAAGGCGCTCGAGTTTGGCACCATCCGCACGCTGGGCATCCCCGGGATCACAAATCTGCTCTTCAAGACCAAGTACGGCCTCAAGGATCCCGAGAAGCGCGCCGCCGAGACCAACATTCTGGTGAGCGAGATGATCCACCACCACGTCGACAGCGATCGCGGCTCGTACGCGGTGAGGAGATTGAATGGAATCCACAACAAATTCAAGATCCCAAACGACCAATTCGCCTACGTCCTCTGCCTCAACGTGATCAGTCCCATTGATTTCTCCGAGAAGTTTGGATTCCGCAAGTGGACCGACAACGAGAAGGAGGCCGCGTATGTTGTGTGGCACGACGTGGGCGTGAGGATGGGCATCACAAACATCCCAGACAGCATTTCCGAGATGCGAGACTACATTTGCGAGTACGAGGCCAAGAACGCCATCTTCACGGACAAGAACAAGAGCATCGTCCAGGATCTCAAGCATCTGGTGCTGGACGCGTTTCCTCAGCCCGTGCAGCCGCTGGTAGAGACTGGGATCTGCGCGCTCATCGATCCCACAATCAGGAGTGCTGTTGGATTGGAAAAGCCCCCCGTGATCGTGGAGTGGATCGTCTTGGGTGCGTTCAAGCTGCTGGCCGGGAGCTGCGTGTCCGCATTTATGCCTCCCAGACGTGTGGAGGATGCGAAGGGCAGCATTGAGGTGGACTGGTGTCCTAATCCCGCTGCCAATCCGGAAGAGTACCGGCAGCTCAACGTGAATGTATCGGCCACCAGCATTTGAGAAGGGATACAAGCTGGCGGAGCTGGGAGTGCTGAAATCCGGCAAGATTGGACCATACTACGATGGGGGATTACGTTGTCCCTTTCAGCAAATGCATGCATAGAAATACCTTTAATAAATTGTTATGGTTTTGTTATTACTTATTAATCCAATTGATTAATCTCGCCGTTGCCGGGGATCGAACCCAGGTCGTCCGCGTGACAGGCGGAAATACTCACCAGTATACTACAACGACATCAGACAACTAATAGAACTTAATTGCGCTCCTCGGACCGTTGGTTCGCGGAAGGAACCCGGACGGCATGTCTGCGTTGAGCGGTTGCGATGGTCTCGGGGCCCTTTGGATCCAACGACCAGTACCTGCTCTCCATCCGACGCACGAGTGTGTGCCACGCACGCGGGCCCCCTCTGGACGGCGTGGATTGCCGGACGCTTGACAAGCAGCTCAATGTGGTGCATGGTTTTTGGGAGAAACGGGACAGTGTGGTGAGGAGCCTCTTTCTCCTCTTTCTCCTCTCTCCTCTCCTCTCCTCCTCCATCGCATTAGGGATTGCGCTATCCCTTCCGCCGGGGCGCTGGCGCCATGAATCGCAGGCGCGTGGCTCCAGATTTTGGATACAATGCAGGGGTGCGCCGCGAATCCCATCCAGATTTGGGCAAGGCAATGCGGTGGATGATCTTCAAGGCGATCGATCTAGCTCCATTGGGAGCGGCGGCGAGGATTTGAAGCATCTGGATCGCGTATTATGCCAGCATCGAGCTCCGGCGCCGCGAAATATCACTGTGGATAGGCAGAGTAGCTCAGGATAGGGATTTCGGGCATCCGGCATCATGCCTCCCAGTAGAAGAAGCTCATCGGCGTCCCTCCTCCAGCAGCGCGGCAAGGGAGGCACAAAGCCTACTGCCATCACAAACTGGATTCCCTGCCAGGCTGCAGTAACATTCACCACAAATAAGATGAAAAACATGCTGGAACAGACGCTTACGAAAGAGTGAGCACGCCACTCCCGGTGTTCAGGTTTGTCATCTTATTGTTATCCAGCTGGACATTAACAAGGGATGAAATCAATTGCTGAACAGACATTTTAATACTTGATAGAGTTGAATATATGTTTAAATGATTTCTATGTCCTTCTAAAGTGAATTTCATGGACTGTCGGCTCAGGAAACGTCTGCACAGCTCTTGGGCATGACAAAAACTCCACCTCCGAGTGAGTTCCAAAGTCTTGGCCTCTTACATGACCTTCGCATAGATATCCTGCAGCAGTAGCTCAAGTAGCACAAAGCAGAGAAAACGAAAACGAACTTTTACCTCGTGCAAGCTGGCTTTGATCGGTGTAGGAGCTATGACCACACCTGGAGATTCATGTTGGCACAAACTAACCAAGATATGCATGGTGCCAAACTCGAGCGTCTTTTGTGAGGGGAAGGGGAAATCCACCCAGTACATATACCACAAGATCTTGTGGGCATCTCTCACGGGGTGGAGTGACGCTAGAAATCTCGCTCTATCTTTTCTCTTGCCAATGCACACCATCTTCCAGCCATCATGAGCAACACGGTCATCAACAAGATTGCAGCCATTTGGAAATGAAAACTGTTTGATCGGTCCTGAAAACAGCTTTTGTTTTCTACACTCCTCTGTGGGTTATGAAACAGGGGCAGGAGAAGAGGTAGTTATCCTACAGAGATCACATCTCACATTTTTAATTCCATGGTTCACCGTATCTTATTCCGTGCACGTAACCAGTATGTCCCATAAGTTGCACGTTTTCCATTTGGTCCTACCAAAACGTCTACACATCCTTGTTTACAATGTGCAAGTTAACGACAGATCACTTGCAAGCCTAAGACCACCCGAAAAGAATAACATTGCCTAACCCTTAGCATGCTTATCTACCTGGTTTGTTTACAGTCCATTTGTGCCCAATGGGGTGCAATCTTGTAGTATCTGGTGAGTATTTCCACCTGTCACCCTGGCTGCTGTGCAGTTTTTCCTTGCATCACAAATGTTGAATGGCAGATACACATTAATGGGGCAGCGCGAGTGGGACTGCCCTTGGCATCCTCCACATTTCTACCATGAACTGATTCCACTCCACAATCACCCAGGGCTTTTCCAATGGGATCGCCACCATTGGGTCTCTGGAGCCAATCCCCGAGCAAAACAATTGCCAAACTTTTTCTTTCTCTGTGTTTGAATCTATTATCTGGAAGGTCTCCAGCCCATATGTTATACTTCAATACAAGTAGAGTAAGGTGATTAAGCATATATTAAATAAACATTATTATATTAAACTCTTATACAAAAAATAGAGAGTGTAGAATATAGAAATCTCATTTCTTTTTATAAGTTTTATTTAATTGATAAATCTTTTAACAATCTTTTTCCATATACCTCATTGAGCTTTTCTATCTTTGAAAAAATCAACATCTATTTGTATTATCTATGGTTCTCACTAAGAAAATAAAAAAAATTACACTCAAGATCCAAAGGGCAAATAGAGTTTATAGGCTTATAAGTCTAATTTTTCTCTTCCCCCTTTTTAATTTTTAGATTGATTTTTGCTCTTGAATTTCCCCTAGAACATATGTTAAATTCATAACAACATGTGAATTACCAAGTTTGACTTGGATATTTTACATCAAAGTTGGTTATTCTTTATATTAGATAATAATTTAAATGTCTTTGGAGATTGGTTGAGGATTAGATAAATGGAAAATTTATCAATTAACTATGTATAATAACTTGGTGCTTTTATATTATTATGCTGTATAATTTTTGATTTAGCTTTTAAAAATCTTAGTTTAAAGATGAAATTTAATGGTT